CACGGGGCTCGGGGGGGGGGGGATGGTCCCGCCCACACCAGTAGTCCGCCCTGGAAGTAGGAAAGGGAAGAGGAACGCACCCCATTGGCACGGATGCCATCGTTCCCAAAAGGTTAGGCCAGTCTCAGGGACTCACCCGTAGTCGATGAGGATCTCCGCCCCTTCGGCGATGGGTCGCAGCACCACAACCAGGATGTGCGGGAGCTCTGCGATGTAGGCGGTGACAAACTTGACGTTGGGCACGGGACCGATCTGGTGAAAGTGGTTGATCATCCGGACTTCGTCTGTGGAAAATGTGGGAGAAGGCAAGATCAAGGGTGGTCAGGAGGGATATGGGCCGGTGCGGGAGCGAGCCCCTGGAGCGGTAACGTGGAGGGCATCCCTTGCACCCTGCCATGGCGCCACTCACTCCCGTACAAGGCCGAATCGACACCCCAGGGAGAAGACCCCTGGGGCAAGCGCCCGTCGTCCTGGTCGATGCTTGCCACGTAGTCCCCGCACACCGCCGGGGGGACGACGCGGCCGACGTACTCGCCAATCACGTCGAAAGGCGCGAAGGCCCGCGTGGCGTACACTCCTGCGGGAAAAGCGGGCCGGATTCAGGGAAGGACATGGACGGCATCGAGAGCAGCGGTCGAATGGTGGCTTTTCTCCCTCGGACCCTGTGTCACGTACCATACTGCCCGTGCAGGACGTGGGACGGCTCGGTGATGCGCCGGACCTCGATACCCGGAAGTAGACGGCGACGGAAGACTTCCTTCACGTCCTGGCCGGCTGAGGAAGCGGCCCACTTCAACTTTTGTGAGAAGAGTACCTGTAATGTAAGGGAAAAAGGGCCATGTGGTGGGGCAGGAGACATGCAGCGTACACCAATCAGGGCGCCCGGGAGCTTTGTGCAAGGCTAAAAGAAGTCTAATTAGTCACGAAAGGGCTATGGGGGATGCAGGGAAATGGATTCTGTGCTGGCGTAAAGCATACCTCACGTGGCCAGTGTGCTGGTTTCTTCTTTAAACGCTCCTCCACTTGGATGTGCTCTTCACCGTAGGGTGGGAAAACCTCACGAGCAGCCCTAGTGGGAGACGGAAACGACGGCGACGACGTTGTGGACAGGTCCCCATTACGACCTCGTCTTCGACCTTTCTCTTTGCTAGTTCTTTGACCACCCCCGGGGTGGGCCTTTACCAAGAAAGTGCCTGTTGACAGATGGGGAGTTGTAAACAAATGAGTCGAGGAGTTGACATACTAACCAACTTGATCGTTGAGGAGCGCGCACTTACAACTCTTTCCGAGGGCACGTCCGGGCTCAAAAGGCAGCATGAGAGAGCTAACAAAGCTACAGCTGAGAAATTTTTTATTCTGGGTGGCCGAGCTGGTGATGTGATCATGTCGTAGTGCTTGGGCTTGTAGCACGCTTGACGTTGAGGCGACGATGGCGGATACCACCACCAGCACAATTCCGCGCGTTCTTCTCCGTCCTCGTTCCCGAGGGCAGAGGTTCCTCATCTAAAATTTCCCCCTATCTTGGCACTCTGCGAAAAAAAGGTAAATTCAGTACACGTGCCTAATTCGGACATCATGGTGGTGCTGGAGGGGGATCTGGCAAAAGTCCCTTCCTCGTGACGTCACACACCCCGCCCCTCTTGGCTTAGAAAAAAGGGTCATGATGACCACGGCCGTGCGAGATAAAATATTTTATCCAGGCAATCAAGCTCTAGGGATATTGATACGTACCGTAATGTTGTAGTGAAGCAACATTTGGCGCGTCTTCACGCGAGTGATTGAGCTATTTCGCAGTCTCTTAGCTGTCCGTGTATGTGTTTTTACCAGTTTTGTTCAACAGTGATAGTATCGTCTCCAGGGCTATATTTGTAACATCACTGTGAATTCTGTGTGAAAAGTCAATTATGTGATAAATTAAATCGTCCACGTTTAATGATTTGATGGGTATCAACGCCATAGATGGAGCACATAAATCTCGTTAGGGGGTGCCCGCCGTCATGCCTGCTTTGAAGTGTCAGATGTACGCTTGGCAAGACTCTTCCACTCCTTAAGAGCGTCGTCTTTTACTTTATTGCTGGTCAATGGTGAAGGGGGGAGGGGGGCAATAAGATCATTATGTGCGATGCGTTGCGGAAGTCGAAAACGATTGAATATATTTGTAAAAGCTTTTTTCCAATTCAACGATGAAAAGTGCTAGGAGAATGATTCTTTATCACAGCTTAGCACCTTTGTTCCACTTGTCTCCTTCCCTCCCTCCTTCCTCCTCCCCCCCTCCTTTTCATGAGAAGCTCTTGATGGGGCTTCCCTTTCAAATGACTTTTCATTTGCTCCATGCTGGTAAATTGCTTGCGACACAGTCGGCAAAAGGAGAGTTTTCGTTCGCTCTCTTGGGCCAAGCGGTGTAATTCTCCTTTCTTGTGATGCGCTAGATCCTCGAGGGATTGACCCTGAAATCGGCAAATCCGACAGTAGAACGGCCGACGCTCACTTGACGCCGGCTGATAATTGGAAAGAAGCTCAGCCACGGTTTGCGCTAGCCCTGCACCGGCCGATGAAGCAGAAGAGGACGGCTGTAAAGGAGGGAGGGGACCTGCTGGATCCCCGGTGCTTTGCGCACCACCGTTTCCTTGTTGCATCCTGTCGCTGGCTATCTTCTCCTTGCGGGTCAGGCGTTTCCTTCCCCCGGAACGTCCGTCCGAATCCGGCAAAGGGACGCGACCGCCCCCTTTTCCCTTACATTCAGGGAGTGGGAGGAGGTGAGGAGGGAGAGGAGGGATGGCTGCCTCCTTGGCGAGGCGACTTTTCAAGACAGCCCCTCCTTTCTCGATGATCAGGCCTTCAGATTCCTCCGCTTTCTCAAAACCAGGTATTCCCTCCTCATTTGAGGGAAAAGGCGTGGAGGAAGACGACGACGAGGAGGAGGAGGAGGATGAGGAGGAAGAAGAGGATAGTTCTTTTTCCAGCGCGGCAAGCCGGGCATCCAAGTCATTCAGTCGGATTTTCTGTCGAGCAGAACCCCCTGCGGCGGCACGTAAGCAAGAAAATGATAGTAATAGTGAGGCTATGTATCAAGCACCGCATATTATACACCTACGAGCAAGAAAAAGGTTTGGGAATCATACTGCAGGAAGGAAACCTACCATCCTCATCGTCGGCAATCTCCTCATCCGATGAATCTAGGAGCATATCCAGGCTACTTTCTTCGGACAAGTCCACTCTTTGTCCATTCTTGCTTCCTCCATTTTCTACCTATTTTGGTGTGCAGTGCGCATGTGGGTACGTCTTAAACTCAGTTGACCACACAAACCGACCGCATCCCTTTCCAAAGTTCGAGGAAAAATGTGGCTTTTGCCCTTGTTTACCTTTTCTCCCTCATCGCCCTGTTCGGATTCCACTTGATTACATTTAACCTTTCGTGCACGTTGTTTCTCCCGTCGCAATCGAAGCCCAATGGGCAAGAGCGTGGTTTTATTCGCGGGCTGATATGGCGGTGCTGGAGGAGACTTGGAATACGGCGCAGACTTGGTCGTCAAGGCATCAGAAACCGGGAAAGAATCAAGTGTTGTTGCATTTCGCTGCCGCTTCCTGCTTACATGGTCTGCTGGTCGCTCTCTCATGCCTGTTGGTGCGACTGAAGTTCACGCCAAGTTGGGCACGAGGAGGAGGGTGGGGAGGTGGGATGTTAGCGCTACGTATGCGCAGGAGCCGATCGAAAGAAATAAACCACCAGGACGATATACCTCTACCCTCCTGCGTAGATGGAATGCTGTACACAATGTTACGAAGCCAGTATTAGAGGCAGTACACCATGTCCGTGCAATTTTAGCTCTTAAACAGACGTCCCCCCCCAGACGCCACCCCCCCGTGCAGAGGGCAAGTTGACGTTTCGCCTCTAGGGCATTGCCATTCGCCCCCCTTGCTCGATTAGAGTCCCGCATTTTTTATTTGCACGTTTTACGTATAAGCTCTCGATAGCACGTTCTCCACAGAATCAGAGGCCGTCGTCATTGGCAGGTTTGCGCGACAGGAACAGCGGGCACGCGCTGTGTATTTCGGTGGGTAG